CAAGAAAGAAACTGATCAAGAAAAATGTAAATTACTGCAAGACTTTCCCTGGCGTTTTTCTGGCGGCGCTGATCGCATTGCAATGCGTTCCATGTGCGTTACTTTGTGTTCGTGAGAGTTCTGACGTGTTCCTTGTGCGTTCACATGCGCAACGGAACACATTCTGAAAGGATCACAGAAGGAACGCATTCGGTACTCAGTATGGTGCGATCTCAACGCGTTCCAAAGTGCTCGTGAACGCATGGTGCGGTGTGTTCTTTGTGAGTTCGGGGCAACACCAAGGACCGCACGCGTAAGCGTTCTCAACGCGTTCCAACGTGTTCCAGAACGCACGGTGCGGCGAGGCTGCGGTGTGTTCTTTGTGAGTTCGGAGCAACACCAAGGACCGCACGCGTAAGCGTTCTCAACGCGTTCCAACGTGTTCCAGAACGCACGGTGCGGCGAGGCTGCGGTGTGTTCTTTGTGAGTTCGGGGCAACACCAAGGACCGCACGCGTAAGCGTTCTCAACGCGTTCCAACGTGTTCCAGAACGCACGGTGCGGCGAGGCTGCGGTGTGTTCTTTGTGAGTTCGGGGCAACACCAAGGACCGCACGCGTAAGCGTTCTCAACGCGTTCCAACGTGTTCCAGAACGCACGGTGCGGCGAGGCTGCGGTGTGTTCTTTGTGAGTTCGGGGCAACACCAAGGACCGCACGCGTAAGCGTTCTCAACGCGTTCCAACGTGTTCCAGAACGCACGGTGCGGCGAGGCTGCGGTGTGTTCTTTGTGAGTTCGGGGCAACACCAAGGACCGCACGCGTAAGCGTTCTCAACGCGTTCCAACGTGTTCCAGAAAGCAAGGTGCGGTGTGTTCCTTGTGAGTTGAGGAACACCGAAACGACTGCATTCGAAGGATCTACTTTGAACTTCGGAACGCACTTGCAACACGCATTGGCATAGATTAAGTGTCGAACAAGATTTCTGTGGAAAGGAGAGGGATGTTCCTCAAGGGCATGAAACGCTTAAAAAGGCGGTATGATATAATGATGTTTAAATTTATTTATAACATTAAATAACATACGCTCAATCTCCATAACAACCGAGCGGCATTTTGGAATAGAATGTCCCAGTCAGTGTGTCTATTTTCACACACTGACCTACAACAAAAGATGGTACAATACATTTTAAATCACCAGACCCTTCTTTCCTGAACAAATGGTGAATAGTTACATTTTGAGAGGCCCAAATGCTCTCCTCACAGAGCAATATTTCCTCCCCCAAGAGTGTAACTTTATTCTCAGTTGTCAGACAAATAGCTGTTAGCTCTACAATTTGGCCATTGCGTAACATGACAACACAGTCATTTCTTTTAGTCGATGTACAACTTTGAGTTGTAAGGCGCATGCCTTTTAGCAATAATCTGTCAAAGAAGAGACACTGTGAAGCACACAAGCCGTTCATCAAAAGAATGTCTTCTTCTTTTTTCAGTAAATCAATTTTTTTACCCTTCCCCAGTAAAATGCAAGAGTCACAACGAGTAAAATGTAAAAGTGCTTTTTCCAACACTTTTTCACAATAAAACAATGTAATATCTGTACTTGCCATTGTATTACACAAACTAGGCAAATCTTTCAGTATAGAATACTTATTACACACTTCTTGGACAACTCTGTAAGGGTTTTTACATAAATTTGCTATGTCTCTATTTTTTGCTTCATACATAAATGCATTATGCCCAGCCATTGGTCCCCAGCGTAAGACACCTTTGCAAATGTGTTTTAACAGGTGTATGTTTAGGTACATATGTTCAGGGCCAAAGTACTTTTGAAACAGAAATGAAAATTTGAGAAATAAATTGTGTGCTTCAACAACATCTGATCTGCTGATGGATCTTTGCAATAGAGAATTTGTAGCCTTTGACAACATGGCGAAATGCTCTAAATACTTAGGCTTCAGAAGTCCCATTAAACAAGGAATGCTGTAGAAAAGTAGCCAAGAACGCCATTCTGAAGCTTTCCAGGAACCACAATCCTTTATGGAGCGGTTCACCCTGCTGATGGAAGACGGTGGCTGAATACTTTTCATACGCTCATCAATAACACTTTTAACGTCAGCCATTGTATAAATAGTTGTATCATCTAATAATGCCCAAAATTTACTTCTAGTATCACTAAAAATTAACGTAAAATAAGTTTCACAGACCCCAAGAAGAAGGCAATGCATGTAGTCAACCACAAATCCTGTAAATAAATTAAAATAATTTAATTTTGCAAGAAAAGTAATACCTTTGACACCTTTATATTGTCTCTTCTCATCCTTATTTTCAAATCGCCTCTTATAAACTTGCTGCAAGTCTCTTTCATACAATTCTTGAGTACGTTCTTTCACTGGTCTATCACTTATTGTAAATTTCAACCTTTTGGTGGTATGAGTACTTACATTATAACAAAATGTACAGCCATAAAAGGCGTGGAAACTTTGAAAGTTGAGCAGCTGTGGGCGCGCCACAGAATCAACAACTGAGACCAGCGGAATCACTTTGCTACTAACTAAGTTACCATTGTGGTGCCACTCAAATCCTACAGATGAGAGTTTGTTAGCTTCATCAACAAATGGCTTCAAAAATGCATTTTGGTTAGGATCACACGATCCGTAATACAACCCCACAAGCAACATTTCTTTACTTCTATCTTTCGGAGGCAGTTCATTGATAGTAACATAAATTGGCCATAGAGTTTTTTTCCTATTGTTCATTTTTCCTAATGCTACTCCATCAGTAAAAAATGTGTAAGAGAAGTTTTCACGTTTGCTCAAAATTCCACCTGGAGCCGAAAGCTTTCTATATTCTGATCCATCGTATATATCCTCTAAATTTTCTGCCACTTCCTTGGATCGATTAAACCTATAATGTAAAATTTTTTCTGCGAGCGTAGTGTTTGCCATCAGTTTTTTTAGCTGAGCCTCAAATGAAAGCGATGCAAAATAAGTTGGTTCTTTTGACACCATAAATGTTTTATCACAGTTCTGACATTCAAAAGATACCTTGAGAGAGTCTGCTTTTCCAATGTAGGCTAAACAATCAGGACAGTAAACATGATAAGATACGTCAAAAGACTGGTCCTTATTTAAAACTTTTTTGAAAATACTCCACTTTGAAAATCTAATTTTCTTTTTCTTCCCATCACCCTCAAAAATGGTATTCACCATTTTTAAAATATCAACCATTGCTTCCCATGTGAGCTTGTGACGAAACACAATGGCCAAACACATAAGGACTACATCATTTTCAGTGCATTCTGTATGGGAGCACAATGTTGGTAGTTTGGACACATTAACCTCCTCAATAAATTCTTCCTCAAAGCAAGTAGTTTCAGAGCTTTCTGTATCTCTTTCGGTGTTCACATCTGGAGCGTTCTCTTGGTGCTGAAAACAAAGAAGGAACAATCTAAGAAATCTTATTTTTTTTAAAAGAATATCAAACTGGGCAAAATATTACAATATCTCACTGTGATCTTACAAGTCTTACCTGATTTGAGAAAGAACTGCTTGATTCCTGGCCTGTAGCTGCATTAGTAGAGTCGTCACCAATAGTTATGGCTTCCGTGCTCTCCCCGTTCCTTTGGGAATTTATTTCCAGGCCATTGTCTTGCTGCTACATTAAAAACAACAAAAGTCACTCTTGAGTCTCTTATTTTCCATGCAGAAAACTCACAAATGCAAATATCTTATAACAGGGCTTACTTCAGATGGAAAAGCTGCGCTCGATCCAAAAGATAGTGGTACAGCTTCATATGGCTGGTGTCCTCTTGCGGTAACTAATTGGGTCTCATGAAGCGTAGCCTGCAACAGGGTCAGCCATGACAAAACAATTCGAATGATACGCTACAGACATGTGGTCGACAACAAGACAAACACTTCCGTCCAAAGACATCTCAAGATAACATCACAACCTAACCAAAGTGTGAGAAGAAAGTTTGTCTGATAGCACTTCATGCTGGTAAGGTTATGGGTCTTGTACACACAGCTCCTGACCAGAACACATTGTGTGACACCAAAAATGAAGGAAACAGATAAGCAATGAAGACTACAAAGTGAATTCTGATTGAGTTACAAAGTGTGGACTTCTACACATTGGTTTTAGCAGCTCTTATTCTAGATTTGGGTATATTTTATGGTCTTGTTAATGAAAAAACATGAAGACAACAAAGTGAATTGTGATTGAGCTACAAAGTGTGGACTTCTACACATAGGGTTTAGCAGCTCTAATTCAAGATTTGGGTAAATTTTATGGTCCTGTTAATGAATACTTGCCTCTAAATTTCGTAGTAGGGCCTTCTTTCTTCGCGAGATGAGAGTTGTGCGAGGGATTGGTTTAAAAGTCTTAACCCACGATTTCCTCTCGCTCATCATAGGCATGAAGATAATGTTATAAGTTAAAAGTAGAAAACAAATTCACTCAAACTAACTTGTCAACTTGTCAATCAAGCCAAAGCTACGCCATAAGCCACAACAAACACTAAGGAAAGCCTCTTTTTCTTGTCCTTTTTCTTCTCGTCGGAGTAGGCAACATGCCAATACGTATCAAGTTCACCAAGCGTTTTAAAAAACAATAAAATACCACTCGATCACCAAATAAAAACGCAGAAAATTGACATGAATTAAAATTTAAACGTAAAAAGGTATCCAGCAACGCATAATATTATCAAAAACTCGTGCCATCACAATGTTTTTGAGTTGGCAAATACGTGGAGCCAAACTGCTGCCAACATAAAAAAATATATTTGCATGAGTGTTTGATAGAAATATGTACTGAGATGTGCCTTATTCCGTTTCAAAAACATAATGTCTTTACGTTCGTCTGTCTTTATTTTAAGATTGAGTGGTATTACTTTGATTTTCAAAACGCAAAGTGTACCTGAAATATATTAGCATGATGCTCACTCAGACCAGAAGAAGAAGGGCAAGAAGAAGAACCCACGCCAAAGTCGGCCACCTGTAGAGGGCACGTAGAGGTCGCGAGCTCACGCCAGCGCCATTTCCCAAGCCGACGACGCCAAGACGGATCGCTGCTGTGCTGTTCTTCCAGATAGATTTGTGATATTTGTGATATTGACTGAGTATTAGCAAAATTTTAGAAAAGCGCCATGGAAACTGATGTGCCAGAAGAGGTGAATACTTCAGGGTGGTACGCAATAGTGAAGTATTCTAAGAGATACGGTGATAATGTCACAGAGGAGGTGCCGGTCTCGAAAATCAGTGTACCCTACATCAACAGCCAGGGGCAAGCCAAAAGAAAGAAATTCAAACCTAAATCCACTTCGGACATAAACAGAAAAATTTGGTACAAGGTCATGAGCAGCAATGGCATTCCTAATGGGGAAGAAAAACCTTTCTTCTGTCTCGTTGGACGGTTAGCAGGTATGTGCAGTAGAAGTGGAGTGCTGAACAGTTTAGGATGTTGCTAATTTCCAGCTGTGCTAACCTATAACATGCTTCTTTTCCTGAACAGAAACCAAGGAGGGCCTTACTGCACCAGAGTTAGGTCGAATAAAGTTTGGCAGTGTTCCGGAACCTGATGATGAACCCAACACAAATGACGATATGTCTGCTCCTGACACAGGACCAGCAAAAGGAATTGTCCAACAGGAGCGGGAGAGAAGGGTTTGTACATTATGCACCTAAGTAAAACTATTTTCTCTCTTGATGGTGTATTTAATTGTGGGCCGTTTTGGTTTGTCTTTCAGATGCGCAAGAAAGCAATGAAAAGAAAAAAGGGTAATGATGATTTGGAATCATTTTTGGGCGCTAACACTCTTGAGAATCATTTTGACGATGATGGTGATGATTTAGATATGGTGGGGACTGATGCTTTGGAAGGTGTGAGTGCCCATTCTAATGATGATATTCCTTGTGGAGATGGGTCGACGGGGAACAGACCAACTGAAGAAGAGAGTTCCACGATTAAGGTCACTGAAACCGTTGGAACGCCTGACACCACGAATGATATTGCAAAGCTGAGAGCGTTAAATGAATCCTTGGCAGAGAAAGTCCGTATCCTGGAAGGAGGCGCCCTGGCAGAAGTAGTTGAGTCAATTAGAACAATGACAAATTCTGTCACTGAATTTGTTACAAAATCCAATCAAGAAGCTTCTGCTTGGAGGACTTCACTTTCGTCTCTAGAGACTGAGATCAAGAGCATCCATCAAAAATGTGATACTGTTGCACAACAAGTTGAAACAGCGACAAAGAGTATAAGTAAGTCACCCACTTCTAAATCGCCTACTTACGTTCAGGATTGGGTGAACAGCATAAGTTTCTAGTCATTAGGTTGTATTTATTTGTTTCATAGTTACCCCCTGTAAGTTTTGTTTACATTCCATGCACATTTTAGTGCATTTGTAGCTTTAATTTTATCATATTTATTTATTTATTTAGCTCTTTTAATTTTTTTTGCTTATTTATTTATTTATTGACCTTTGTTTTAGTCTGGAAGGATATAACTACTTCATTTTTAGAATTCGTACTCTTTTGAAGAAAGCTTATGCCTAGTTCAGCTGAAACAATTCCTCAATTGTAAAACATAAATTGATAGAGGTTTAGCCATCGTAAGACTGTGATAATTTCTGTGATATATCTGCTCGGCTTTAATGTTGGTTCGAAAGAATCTTAGCCACAGCATAGCAGTGGCAGTTGGCAGCATAGCACCAACCCAAAATGTGGAAATGACAACAATCTTAGGATTGGAAAACCTAGCATTCCATCTATAATCAGTTTCAGCAAGGTCAATAATATGATGTGAACCTTCTTGTTAAGAGAACTCCAGCTTTTCATGTTGTAAATATAAACCAATTGAAGGTTTGGTTAACATAAGACTTTGATACTTGCTGTAATACACCTGCTTGGCTTCCATTCTTGGCTCGTAAAAATCTCTGCTGTCACTATCACAGCCATGATTTAGGAGCCATCGATTTAAAGTTAAGAAGTGGTTGTGAGTGAAAAGGTCAAGTCTTGTGTTAGGAAGAACCTTAGCTTTCACAATTTCACCCTTGACAAGGCTAGGCAGGTCAACGTTCTGATTTAACTTTAGTCCTAAGTAGTGATTGGAAATGATGGGAAAATGGAAAATTCAGAGACAACCATAATTTGGAAAGAAATAAAATAGCCCAAATTAATATCAGCAGCAGCAAAAGGTGAGCACTTCGTAGTGTGTACTTAATTTGCTTTCTAAACATATCACATGGGTGGCTGTATCATTTTTTATTTTTTATTCTATGTGGGGTGGAATGGTGTTGCCAATGAGTTTTCCAATTTCCTCATTTTCATTCCTTGTACATTTTTGGGACATTCTTCTAATCACGAGGTATATTGCTGTTAACAGGTACTTCCGGTTCTACAATCCCCCTGTCAGAGAGGAGCTCCACGGGGACTGAACTGGTAAGGTGGTTTTTAAACTAATGAAGTCAGATAATACCCTCAAGTACAACAACTTTGGGGCAATATTCCTATTCTCAACCACAATCTGTAATTTAATTAAGCCTCCCTACTCTTTGTTGGAAGAGAAGGCCAACGTTATTTAAAATATTTGGCAGCTTAGATGTCAGTTAAAATACTTCGACTTTTCAATCCAGCTTATAATTGTACCTAATATTTCCAACAACGGTCCAGTGTTCATAACCATGATTGATGTCGTTTCAGGTGGAGCTGTTTCCCAACACTGGGGTGATGATCCAGTCCGGGTCACTGTCGCAGATGGCCCATGCGACAGATGACACGGACTGGTGCAACCACCTAATCTACGGGGTATTCGGCGATGACGCCAAAAGGTACCGCCTGAAGCAAACAAAGGACTGTATCAAATTCTCGGAACAGTTCAAGAGAGCAGTACAAGGTGTGTAGTCTCTTCAAAGTGCCTGTTTTCAATTTATATATTTGTTAAACTAAGAGGTATTTTAAAAACATTTTGTTCCATTTCTTTGCAGCACGGTTTAGGCAGTACCTGGAGAGGCTGGGGACGGACCCGGCAGTGATGGAGGGAGAGGTGTCGTCGATTCTCTCATACGTGTCGCGCCTGTGCGGCTCTAAGGAGCCGAGGGGCGACAGGCGACGGATACAGGAGGCCAGGAGCAAAGATGAAAATGTGACACCGCTAGTGGCTGCGGCGAAGGAAAAGGCGTCACTGAACGCGGCCGCGAGAGCTGCTGCCGGGAAGCCGTCGACGAAAAGAGTACGGCGGACCGACAGGAGGGCAGCTCTCGCGGTCCGCAACCAGAACGTCGTGGCCAACGTCGCTCAGCCCCACGCCGTCCAGCCCCAAGCCGCCGTCCAGCCCCAAGCCGCCGTCCAGCCCCAAGCCGCCCCCCCGCCCCAAGCCGTCACCCAGCCCCAAGCCGCCGCCCAGCCCCAAGCCGCCGTCCAGCACCAAGCCGCCGTCCAGCACCAAGCCCACCAGGACCACTCCCACCAGCACCACGCCCACCAGCACCACGCCCACCAGCACCACGCCCACCAGCACCACGAGCCCTACCTCGCCCTGCACCACGCCGACCAGGCCATCGCCGACCAGCCGCCTGCTGCCCTGAACCGTGGCTACCAGGCTGCCCAACAGCAGCTTTCTAGCTTCCGCTACCTTGGGTCCACCGTCCCTGGGGCCCAGCCGGCCGGCCCTCAGGCTCAGCCCGCCGGCCAGTCCGCCGGCCAGCCCGCAGTCCCTGGGGCCCAGCTTTGGGACCCGGTCGGCCTTTTTACGAACACGGACTGTAGTTCGAATTAATAAAAAAAAATTGTATTTTCTAATTGTAGATTTGTTGTATTTTGACCTTGTGACATGGATCACTGACGGAACACATTCATGCGTCAAAAATGCGCTTCAGAACACACTAACCCAGCGGAGGAGCACAGTACAATGCAGTCGGGAACACACTGCAGTGCACTCGAGTGCGTTCAGGAACACAAAATAACGCTGTGCTGCGCCGGGCGCGGCGCACTGCAGTGCCGTCCAGAACACAATGGAACGCGCGGGGAACACTTTGCTGTGCGTTCCTGTGCGCTCCATCTGCATTCCGAAACGCGTTAGCGCGTGGCGCCCACTGTGATACCGTGCGTTCCGGAACGCATGCGAGCGCACCGAAAGGCATTAGGAACGCATCCGAACGCACTGTTGTGTGTTACGGGAACACATAAGTGTCGATATAATGCGTTGCGAACACATTACAACGAGTTCAGATGGGTTCCATACGCGTTCAGCAACGCACTACGATGCGTTCTGGAACACAGTACAGCCGCCAAGAAAAACGCCAGGGTTTATAACTACAAATTTGATACTGCCAAGGATGTTCAGTTGAATATAAGCAAGATGCAGAATATAGTTTATCAGTTGACAGCCTTGGGAGAAGAAATAACAGAAACAATGTTGATGTCAAAAGTTCTAACAGTCCTGCCAGAAAAGTTCAAACACTTCAGCACAGCTTGGGATTCTACATCGAAGAATGACAAGAACATTGAGAACTTAATGCAACGACTAACGTTGGAGGAAGATAAATATAAAATGCAAAGAGAAGAAAAACCAGTGGCCTTCAAAGCAGAATCAAAAGGTAATGGAGAAATTACATGCTATGGATGTGGCAAGAAAGGACATATAAAGCCAAAATGTCCAAAAGGAAAAGAAAGCAACAATAATGATGATAAGAAGAAAGAATTTGGACAAAAATCATGCCCAATATGCAGAGTGAATTTCAAGAAAATAATGACAAACCACACAGGAGAAAACTGCAACTACAAAGATAAAGCATGCAAGACGTGCAAGAACATGAACCACAAGACAGAAGACTGCAAGTTCGGTGAGCAAAATAAAACAAGTAATATGAAAAATGATAAGAAAATTGTGTTGATTGCACACATGGAAGAAACTAAGGAAGAAGAAACTGAGTGTCTGAATGCAGAACAAGAGGAAGAAGAAATTGAACTTGTTGTGGATAGTGGATGCAACAAGATGATGATAAAAGATAAAAACATTATAACTGACATGCAAAAATACAGTGATAGTGTCAAAATAGCTAAACAAGGTGACACTATTCCAATTACAGGACGTGGAACAGTAGATTTTGAAGAATGCACTTTGAAAGAGGTGTACTATGTTCCAGACCTGACAAGAAATTTGATGTCCGTGAATGTAGTAACTGAATCTAAAGGTACAGTTTACTTTGAAGATGACAAAGTCTATATAATGAAAACAAAGATAGAAATACCAAGGGATTCTATTGCTATTGAAGGTAAAAGGACTGACAATGGACTTTATGTAGTGAACTTGAAGAAAGTGACAAACAGTGCTCTGTCAAGTGAGAAGATAACAAAAATAGAGGAATGGCACAGAAAATTGGGTCACCTCAGTTATACAAAAATGAAGAAAATTCCAGAAATATGTGAAGGAGCAGATTATTGCAAAGTTGATACCTCAATAAAATGTAATATCTGTGCAAAGGCAAAGCAAGTAAGACTGCCATTTAAAACGGTGAGAGAAAGAGCGAGCAGACCTCTACAAATAATTGGCTGAGCGATAGCGAAGCCTGTTACTCCAGTGGGGTTGAAAAGTTTTTCATGTCTGTCTGTCTGTCTGTCTGTCTGTGTGCACTACTCCTCCTGAACGGCTTAGCCGATCTCGGTGAGATTTTGCACACTTCTTGGGTATGTCCTTGGCTCGGCACACGCGAAATTTCACCATCCTAGCTCTACTGGTTCAGTTTTTATAGCCGAAAAACACCTAAAAAACGGCGAAAAATAGAGCTTTCTGCAGAAAGATCACTTCCGGCTTGGAGAAAGGGGGGTCTGGGGGGCGGAGCCCCCCAGCCTCGACATGTTAAAAAGTGACAAGGGTCAAGATCGTGTTATCTATAGATAAAACAACTCTTTTTAGAATGTAGGGGGATCTGGGGGGCGGAGCCCCCCACCATTCAACAATTTAAAAAATAACACTGAGAATCCAAACGCTATGAGTATAGCGTCAATTGGTGCAATGCAAAAGCATTGCACATGAAGTGCAATGCCTCCCATTTCCCATGCATTAGCATAGGGCCTTTTCGGGAAGCATTGCACCAAAGGTGCAATATGGCTGTGGCATTGCACGTGAGCGATTCTCACGTTTCGGGGTAGTTTTGGCGTCTCTGATTTGCCGAAAGTGAGAAATATCCAATTAAGTTTTTCTGATTATTGGGGTCCTGGATGATACTAGAGTTATGGCAATGGTATTTATAGTAAAGACCTTGTACTACCTTCCTAAAAACATGAGCCATAAGGTATTCCCATACGTTTTAGTGGGTGTTTTGATCACGGAAATTACGTTATCACGGAAGTTACAAAGTGTGAAAATCGGCTTTAACGGCTGACTCGGGCTTGCTGTGGCTTAAAAGTCGTTCCAGGGTCAAATGATACTCTAAGCCCGACATTTAAGCGAAAAATTTTTTCACCTAGTGCTGCTGCAACATTGGGTAGGTGCCACGGAAGTTACAGGTAATTGTTGATACACGCCATTTTATAATGCTCTAGCCCGCTTTGAGACCGTGTACAGCATCTTAGATTTCCGCGACCCATGCAATTATATCCCAGGGACTCCACTTTGATGGCTTGTGTCATGGAAACACTGTTATTCAAATTGCGATAACCACCGTATATATTTTGCAATAAAAAACTTATCACATTTTTTTGCTATAATGACAACTAAATATCTGCAATAAAAAAATTACAGCTAAATTTTGCAATAAAGTATTGCATTTTTGCGATAATGACTACAAAGAAAATGCAATAAAAAGTTATCGCAGAAAAAAATGTGATAAAAGTTACTACAAAACGCTCTATTATCGCAAAAATTATGGGGTGGTTATTGCAAAAAAAGTGCAATAAAAAAATTATCGCACTCCAGGATGCGATAAATCGTGGGAATCGCAAACTCGGTTTTATCGCAAAAATTTGTAGTAAAAGTATCGCAAAATGAATGACAGTGAAGTTTAAAGTTTGGCTTGGGGAGAAGTCCAGAGCTGCCTTTTCGAAATTTGTGTAGTGAAATTGAATATACGGAGGACATTTTTCGTTGCAGCATAAGTACCTTTGAAAGAAGTCTGGCGTATTGGTCTTCGGTCGAAATTAGCTCGAGACATGCCAAGCTTCGAATCCCCATCGACAGTTGGCAGCATTTTCGAACCACACCGCCACACTGGGGGCGGAAAGTTCGAGTATGTTCTCTTTGGACAATCACGGAAGTTACATTTAGGGTATTCCAAACGCTACGTAGACCAAACCAACGAACGTGAACTTTTCGAAATGTGTGCGTTTAGTGGGCAATGGCCCTCCCTAACATCAGAAACAAACCCCATGTCGATATCTGCGCTCGTTTGGGCACAGGAGTCAGAAGAAACGAAACTACCCCGAAACGTGAGAATCGCTCACGTATGGTGCGATATCACAGCGCATTGCACCATACGTGCTATACTCATAGCATTTGGAATCTCAGTGAACCGACAATGGACAAGCCATTGCCTGCCGCAGGCAGGCTAGCGCCGCAGGCCAAGGTAGGTACGCCAGGCGTGGATTGGAGGAACAGGCAGCGAGACATCGCGAAGCCTGTTACGACAAGACGCGGTCTGGCGTAAACCTACCTTGTTCATACTGATGTAGGTGGTGCAGTCAATCCTGAAACCTATGACAACAAGAATTACTTCATTGTTCTGCTTGATGACTTCACTCATTTCTGCACAGTTTACCTGTTGGAAACTAGATCAGCGGCAGAAGTATTTCAATTGTCGTGTCTTGAGTTATTCTCTATCCGTGTCTCTCAGTGTATCACAGCTCGTTAATGCTGAACTTAGAGGGAGAGTAAGGGAACAAACAACCACACAGTTTGATGCTGTTGATGCAAGTGGCGACCACTGTCGTCCGGCGGGGGAGCGCGGTGTGGCCGAGCTTCTAGTGGTCGCCGCTAGGGGCGCTGCTGGGCAGTGCCAACCTAACGGCGACCTTACTAGCTCGGTACACCACACTCCTCCCCCCTTAGACAGGGCCTACTTGATATAATTCACAATTTATGTACAATTATAAAACTTGTTACACTATCAGTCTTTTAAATTTAAAACATAGGCCGCCCCTTTGAGGGCTTGATCGCCATAACTCTAGGCTGCCTTTTTAGGGCTTAATCGCCATTGTCATAAGTGGCCCTTAGAGGGTTTGACATTTTACTGCCCGTGTTTTAGGGCTGGTCAAGGGTCCTGCTGGTCCCTGCTTTAGTCAGAGTATTCCTCGTACTCGTGGGCGTTCCACTCCTCGAAAGAGTACGCGCCCTGCCTCGGAGAAAATAACAGAAGACCAAGAAGAGAAAGAAAAATGCCATCAAAATATAACGACTACATAATGGACTTTGCAGAAGTTGAATCACTACTTACTTATGAGGAAGCTGTAAATTCTGAAGAGAAACACCAGTGGATAAAAGCAATTAAAAGTGAGAAAGAATCTCTCATGAAAAATAACACTTGGACCTACACAGACAAACATCGGGTAAAGAAGAAAGATGTACTAAAGTCTAGGTGGGTGCTAAGAGTGAAAGAAGATGGCACATACAAGGCACGTTTAGTGGCTAAGGGATGTGCACAGGACAAAAATAAGATGGATTATGAAAACATATATAGTCCTGTTGTAGAAACAACATCCCTCAGACTGTTGTTTGCTATAGCTGCCAAAAGGAATTGGAGTATACAAACATTAGATGTAAAAACAGCCTTTCTATACGGAGAGCTAGAAGAACCAGTATACATGGAAATACCAGAAGGTTTTGAACAACCTGGTAAAATATGTTTGCTGAAGAAGTCATTGTATGGACTCCGACAAGCACCAAGCCAGTGGAATAAAAGATTCACTGGATTTCTAAGAGAACAAAACATGACACAACTAAAGTCAGATAATTGTATCTTCAAGTCAAAAGAGGGTGATTTGTATCTGGCTATTCACGTTGATGACGGAATAATAATTGGAGAAAATAAAGAATGTATCAAGAAATTGCAAGACAAATTGAAGAAAGAATTTGAGATGACTATAAATGAAGATCCAAAAACATATCTTGGAATGGATATCGAGAAAACAGAAGGAGGTATAATAATCACACAAGAGAATTATGCAGATAAGGTGATCAAGAAATTTGGAATGGAAGGGGCAAATCCAATGAAGACTCCACTAAATCAAGACATATACAGAAGTGATGATCAAGATAATGAGGAAGTAGAAGACTCACATATCAACTTCAGAGAGGGTATAGGAAGTCTTTTATATTTATCATGCAAAACACGCCCTGATCTGAGTTTTGCTGTGAACTATATGAGTCGTTCGATGGAACAACCAAAGAAGAAAGATTATATCAATCTTAAAAGAACACTGAGATATTTGAGAGGAACAACAACAAATAGAATCTTCTATAGTAGAAGTCAAGAAGATAAAAATGAAGAAACATTACATCTGATTGCCTACTGTGATGCAGATTTTGCAGGAGATGTAGACTCAAGAGAACAAGACAAAACCAAAGAGATAAGAAGGAAAAGCACATCTGGATATGTTATTACCCTGTATGGAGGACCGATAGCCTGGTCTTCAAGAAGGCAAACCGTTGTAGCACAATCAACCATGGAAGCGGAACTGATTGCAGCATGTGAGTGTGTGAAGGAATTAAAGTACCTTGTGGAACTGCTAAAAGAACTGACAGGAAAAGAAGTCAAAGGCACACTTCACATTGACAATCAGAGTACTATAAAACTTATCAAGGCTGGACGGATGAAGAGAAGTCGACATATTGAAGTCAAATACTTCTTTATAAAAGATGAGTATTATAAAAAGTTGTTTGAAATGTCATATGTACCGTCAGAAGATAACGTGAGTGATATCTTCACAAAACCATTGAATCATACCAAATTTGACAAGTTTGCCAAAGAGCTTATGTTGTAGATGTTCCTATTATGACAATAATATTAGCTGAAAGTGTCATATAGAGGGGATGGCTTTACTGTATCCCCGCACGCCTGAACCAAATCATTATTTATCAATTTACTCATAAAACATAAAATAATCATCAAAATTACAAAATTATCTGAAATTATTACACAATATTGCTAATTAATTGAAATTAATCAGTATTTTTTCGATTAAATTATTGTTTTATCTCAAATGTTTGCAGTAAGGTGAGGCTTGTGGTGGACTGCTCCCAGGCGGGTGAACTGACAGCGTGACTCGAGGCTGAATCTGGTTGTGCCTGATATTTGAATTGGAACCTAGCCGTCGGGCGGGAGGCATATACACCTGAAACTAGAAGGTCCAACCTATCCTAACAAAACCTAACGGACTTGCCACAGATCTTACCGTACTCGCGACAGATCATACTCTAACGCGATAGATCTTACTCTAACGTGGCACATCTCACGCTACTCGTAACAGATCATTCTCCAACGCGGCAGATCTTACGCTACTCGTTACAGATCTTACTCTAAAGCAGCAGATCCTTTGCTGCTCGTGACAGATCACGCTCTAAGGTAGCAGATCTCACTTCACGTGACAAGTTCTCAGTCTTACGCGGCTGATCTTACGTTTCTCGTTACAGATCTGACACTAACGCGGCAGACCCTGCGCTACTCGTGACAGATCCTACTCTAACGTGGCAGATCTTGCACTCGCGTGACAAGTTCTTTCTCTTACGCAGCTGATTTTACGCTACTCGTGACAAATCATAGCCTGACCCAACAGATCTCTACCGCCACTCTTGCAATGTCAATTCACCCACCTGGAAGTTGTCCACTCAAAGCATCGCCTTACTCCAAACGTTTGAAATTTAAAAAAAATATTTACTTGTATTAATACTGATTAATTTTCATTAATTAGCAATATTTTGTAATAATTTCAAATAATTTTGTAATTTTGGTGATTAATTTGTGTTTAATGGGAAAATTGATAAAGATTGATTTGGTTCAGGCGTGCGGGGATACAGTGAGCCACTCCCATATAAAGTTAAGAAATTCGTCCAAATAATTCGTCCAAATAATCAAGACTTAATTGTTAAAGTTATATTGTCAAGAACCTATAAAGCCCCAATCCGACTGACTCACTCACTCACTCACTCATAGAAATGTTTGGGGTGAAGGAGTGGTCGTAGAGACTTGCGGTTTTTTCCATTCAATTCCAAATTTTATGGGAAAATTGGGAAAAATCCCAAAAGTTGAAAATTCCTCACCGTTTCCGAGAAAACCTACTTTATCTACAAAAAAGGGGAACAAATTTCTCACCGTTTCCGAGCAAACCTACTCAATCTTCAAAAAAGGGGACCGACCGACTAAAAATTTTTATTCGCCCCATCGGTAGGTCTGGTCGAGACATTTCCGAAACTGTGCCGCAATCGGGTCCCCGCCACCGGCAACATCCTCAAAAAACGATTTAATAGGCCTAAATTCAACAAAATCCACTCAATCTTCAAAAAAGGGGACCGACCGACTAAAAATTTTTATTCGCCCCATCGGTAGGTCTGGTCGAGACATTTCCGAAACTGTGCCGCAATCGGGTCCCCGTCACCGGCAACATCCTCAAAAACGATTAAATAGGCCTAAATTCAACAAAATCCACTCAATCTTCAAAAAAGGGGACTGACCGACTAAAAATTTTTATTCGCCCCATCGGTAGGTCTGGTCGAGACATTTCCGAAACTGTGCCGCAATCGGGTCCCCGTCACCGGCAACATCCTCAAAAACGATTAAATAGGCCTAAATTCAACAAAATCCACTCAATCTTCAAAAAAGGGGACCGACCGACTAAAAATTTTTATTCACCCCATCGGTAGGTCTGGTCCAGACATTTCCGAAACTGTGCCGCAATCGGGTCCTCGTCACCGGCAACATCCTCAAAAACGATAAAATAGGCCTAAATTTAACAAAATCCACTCTATCTTCAAAAAAGGGGACCGACCGACTAAAAATTTTTATTCGCCCCATCGGTAGGTCTGGTCCAGACATTTCCGAAACTGTGCCGCAATCGGGTCCTCGTCACCGGCAACATCCTCAAAAACGATAAAATAGGCCTAAATTTAACAAAATCCACTCTATCTTCAAAAAAGGGGACCGACCGACTAAAAATTTTTATTCGCCCCATCGGTAGGTCTGGTCGAGACATTTCCGAAACTGTGCCGCAATCGGGTCCTCGTCACCGGCAACATCCTCAAAAACGATAAAATAGGCCTAAATTTAACAAAATCCACTCTATCTTCAAAAAAGGGGACCGACCGACTAAAAATTTTTATTCGCCCCATCGGTAGGTCTGGTCGAGACAATTCCGAAACTGTGCCGCAATCGGGTCCTCGTCACCGGCAACATCCTCAAAAACGATAAAATAGGCCTAAATTTAACAAAATCCACTCTATCTTCAAAAAAGGGGACCGACCGACTAAAAATTTTTATTCGCCCCATCGGTAGGTCTGGTCGAGACATTTCCGAAACTGTGCCGCAATCGGGTTCCCGACACCGGCAACATCTTCAAAAACGATCAAATAGGCCTAAATTCAACAAAATCCACTCAATCTTCAAAAAAGGGGACCGACCGACTAAAAATTTTTATTCGCCCCATCGGTAGGTCTGGTCGAGACATTTCCGAAACTGTGCCGCAATCGGGTCCCCGTCACCGGCAACATCCTCAAAAAAACGATTAAATTGGCCTAAATTCAACAAAATCCACTTAATCTTAAAAAAAAAGGGACCGACCGACTAAAAATTTTTATTCGCCCTATCGGTAGGTCTTGTCGTGGCATTTCCGAAACTGTGCCGCAATCGGGTTCCCGTCACCGGCAACATCCTCAAAACGATGAAATGGGCCTAAATTGAACAAAATACAACCGTTTCCGAGCAGTAAAAGCCATGTAATATATTGCGTCTTAAACCTGGCCGGAGAAATCTGTAGAAATCAGAAATGAAAGACGCAAAAGAGGCCCATTAGTTTGGCCTTCGGTCACATTGACCATAATCAACACAGATCTTATTCTTGTCAAAGCTGTCTTCAATATTTTCCGGACCTTGAATGCCGTTGACTGCCACAGTACCCAATACAATACAAGCTATCTATTTGGGCAGTAATGGTACCATAAAAATTAATGGTCAAAGGCAGTTAAATAGACCCTTCCAAAAAGCAGTACAGTTACTTCATTAGAAAATTTTCCTTTGGTCACCACGGACTTACTAAAAATACTTCGGTACGCACCCCACACATGCGGGGGTCTGGGGGCGGAGCCCCCAGCGAGCAGCGCGAGTTAAAGTTATATAATCTTTTGATACTCAAATGTGCCATTACATTTGTGCCATTGTACTTAATTATTTTTATATAATCTCTCATGTTTTTAAT